TCGCTTTTCGAAATAAGACCGTGGTGTTGGTTTAGTGGGGATATCTCGCCACTATGCAATAAATACAAGGTGAGAATTCCACGTGAGGTTTCTATTAATAGTAACTTCGAGATACTTAACGTCTTCTGAGTGTTGTTGATGCTGTGATGTTAAGTAATGCACATTACCATCAATACCAAACAAATAACTTTTTTGATACAGGATATAATTCACGTACAGTGATACTTTTTTTAAAATAGAGAAATACAAATTTTGGCACTGGCGATTAGGTCTGACTATCCTATAGCATACAGCTGTTTAGCATATAAATCTTATAAAGCCAACAGTTTGCCACTTGTAAGAAAGTTATCAAAAACAACCAAAGATTTGTGTGGCGTATCTTGGCCTAATTCAGTTACAACCTTGTATTCCAAGCCAACCTTTTTAATGCCTTTAGTTTTTGCTATGTAGATAATAAACTGGAACAAATACCCAGTAATAGCATCACACTTTGTCCAAATTTTATAACTCTTGTTCAGATACTGTTTGATAGAACTACGTCCTTTAAATTTCATCATGCAAATATAGCACAATTTGTAAAAAAATTGATACAAACTTAAATATTGTCGGTACTACTTTCTTCCTACATAACGAACTAGTGCTTCTCTGTATAAAAGTAACGACAGTGATATTTTCATTAGGATAATTTCCTCTTGGAGAAAATTAATTTTGGAAGGAAAATTGTCTTTACTTTCCACCTATTAGAATAATCCTTCTTCGTGTCACCTTATTATGCAGAAAAGGGAGTTGAATTTTTAAAATGCCGACACCGGAGTGTTAGACATCTCCTGGCTCTTTTATGATAAATTATGGATGGGATTGCATTATCTACAATTTTGATATTTAAAAGAATGAAATTCGATTTGGTTTTAGAGAGTCTACGTAAAGATAAAATTTGAATGGCGATTTCTTACTTATTTTAACTACTTAAAGTATTAAGAGACCCAAATAGATATTGCACATTTGTCAGCCTGGAAACTTTATCCCAATTCATCTGTTAACCCTTTATAGGGCAGAATTATTTTTTGGTAATATAAACAAATTCTTTGCAGATTATAGATAAGGAATGATCCGTTATTGAACTTTCATTCGTATTTTCATTTTATTTTCACTCCTTGTTGTTTTTTTTAGGTGGTTGAAATTTCGACCACATCCTGATTAGGTTTGTTGACTTTGGTAAATGTAGTTGTGGTTCCATAGTCGACCACAGAAAAAAACCTGGCAATCTGAGCATTTAATACTTGAACGTTTTGGCTTTGCTCTCGTTGAACAGAGTGCACAACGTCTTGATGTTCCTTTTTCTGGCATGTGATTGCCAACATCGCTTAGTCTCACCATGCTTTCAACGCTAACAGAATTAGTGGTTGCTCCCATTTTCTTCAGTTTATTTCTTCCTATTGTTACCTTAGGTCCTGGTCTCTTTCTGTTATAGAAATCACCTATGAGCTCGTTGGCCAATACACTTCTAAAATACATTTGACTCATTGGTTTCGATTTCATGGACCTCATTTTCATTGTAGTCTTATAAGTTATATATGAATTTACCACTGCTGCATCAATCAAATAGTAAATAATCTTCATATACCATCTTCGGGATTTCCATGAAATTGGATAAGAAGCATGAAGTTGATCGAATAGATCGACTCCACCCATATAGCGATTGTAATCACTTATGGCTTTTCACTTGACACTTAACACTTTCTTGTTCACCATTCGGTTTTCTTCGCAAAACTGAAGTAATCTCAAGTGGATTATGCATAGTACTGCCGACTAAAACGCATTTGCGCCCCGATCTTTCCATTTAACAACAGACATATCATTGGACATGAAATAATCGTGTTCTCCCATTTTCATTGTTTTGTCCTTTCTCATTTGTGTTGGAAAGCCTTTACGATTTATTCTAAAAGTTTCACAGCAGAACAAATCATAGGTTAACATTTTCTTAAGAAGAGGAAAACTCGAGAAAAAATTATCGAAATAAATGCAGTAGTTTGCGCCTCTAAGAGACTCGGTAATGTCTAATACCGTTTTAGCGCCTAAACCATATTCAGCATGTTGTGATTGAGATTTGCCTTCATATATGCTAAATTTGTGCACGTATCCAGTTTAGGAGCATGCAACGACCCAAACTTTAAAGCCTCTTTTTATGGGCTTTTTCGGCATATATTGTTTGAGAGAACTTCGCCCCTTGAAAGCAACCATACTTTCATCTACCGCAACATTTCTACTTGTATAAAAGTTCTCTTGAAAGCGTTGCTGCAGTTCTGTTATCAAAGGCCTTACTTTGAACAGCTTGTCAAAATTGGGGTTATTTTGATTTCTTTCCATGTTTTCGTTATTGTTTAGATGGAGAAAACGAAGAATTTTTAAGAATCGTTTTTGCGTAAAAATTTGCGAAACTCTTGGCACGTGCATGTTAATATCAGTTGACCAATAATGTCTCAAACTAGGTAGTTTATGAAACTCCATGATTATAAGAACCCCTAGAAATACTTTCAGTTCTTCCTCAGTTAGGTCGAGATTATTATGATTTTGTTGTTGAGCATAGAGATTTGACTGTGTAATTATATTAGCTATAATATCTTTGCTCATGAACAAAGAAAACACGTCGAATGGTGAGTTTATATTGACCGGTTTTGCTGGACCAAATGATCTGGTAAACGGCGCATTCGAATATTTTTGTGCATCGGAAGCGTTCTTTCTCCATTTATATGTATCATCGCACTTTACTGTGTTCTCTTGGTTCTCTTTTATTTCGTCTTCGCCTGAGGAAGTATCGACGTCGTCAAAAATGCGATTTGTTCTTACCTGAGGGTGGAAAGCTATATCATCCATTGAGCCATCTGAATCAACATCAAGAAATTCAACCTTGTCATCATTAGACAATGAAGTAATAGTCGCGTTGGATGCAACCGACGTTCGGTTGGAAATAGGAAGATTATCTTCTGCATCAGAATCACCCTCAAAATCTGAATTTATGGCTTGTTGATATGGAATACCATCTATGTAATCAAATAAATCATCCTAAGTCATATCGCACCTTTAAAGTTAAACCGTTACTAAACTAAAAAATCAAATTTTACAGTAGAACCAAAATTAAAAAATATATTTCTTTTTTCTTAATTTGTTACAACGTAAGTGATACTAGGACCCTATTTTTTGTGACATATGATAGATATGTGTTTACATTAAAACATACAACAGAGGAAAGCATGATTATTTTACTAGAACAATGTTTTTTGAGTTTTTAATTTTTATAGTAACACTTTACCACTTAGATTTATTAAATTATGAATTATAACTATAAAATTTGTAAATAATAAAATGAACCAAAAATAATAAAGTTGGTATTTTTGGGTATTACATGTAATGAATAAACAAACTGCTAGACTTAATAATGTTTTATTGTCATATTAAAATTAATAATAAAAAGAAGCTTCACAAACAAAAATATTTTTTTCATAAACTTACTAAATATAATAAAACCTTTTGAAAAGTTTTCATAAAATTAAAAATAATTGATAATAAAAATAAAAAGCTTTTATAAAAAAATAAAATCAATGCAATATGTTATTATAATAAGACAGAGCGTAACTCTGGGGAATGATATTGCTGTTAATCAAACTCTTTAAATCACTGTTTTTTCTTTCGCTTAATTTTAACCTGGACTGATGTAATGGCTTTAATTGTAAAGTTTGATTGCTAGTACGTGTGCGCGATGGACGGTTGTTATAGAATTCTATTTCTTTAAAGTCTATGTCTGTGTACGAAGTCTTGTAAAGTATTTTAATTTTATCAGAATTTTCATGCTTTTCGAATTTTATAATTTTAATGTCACTTAGTCGGACCGTCTCACCTTGAGTATTTTTGGAAAACCGTCCACCGCACATCTCTGTAAGATTTTTTATATCAAAAAAGTCTGCAAAACACATTTCTTGTACTGTGTAAGCATTTCCTTTTTTTCGTGCAGTTCTTATAATCGTTATATATTGGTCTGGTGTGTAAATTGGACCAGACCGTAAACACTTTTTTACTGCTTTTTCAATAACTGAATGAACAGAATCATTTTCATTTTGGGTATGTCCACTTATTAAATATTTGTGCGTGATGGATTTTATTTTAAGTACAGATAAAGCATAGACATACATAGAGAACATAAATTGATTTTTTTGTTGTCCGCAGCAATTATCCGAGTAAAAAATAATTTGTAAATCATTATCGTCAATTTCTAATGCCTTCTTAGTTAAATATTTGAAAACACACGTTGCTATTTCGTTAGCTCCTCTTAGTGCTTCAACTTCACTCCAAACAAAACATTCGCAATGATCTTTTGTCAACTCACTTATTGTAAAATTACATACATTTAACTTGCACTTATAATACAAGGTCGAAATATCGCCTTTGGGAAGAGGCAGCACTGCTTGAAGATCGTAACAGGCCACAATTAAGTTCCTCTGGGCCAAAGATTTGTCGTTAGACTTTTCCTGCCGACTAAGATCTTTTTCTAACTGATGTTGGTAATATCTACTTCGCAATTCTGCATCACCTCCATTTTCGGCGTTTTTATAAGCAGTACATAATTCACATTGATCTTTTTTAGGGATATGAAAACTGATATTGTAATCCTCATTAAACACTTTCCTATACGTATGAATTTTGGCAGCTTCAACACCAGCTTTCAGACAATCTGATTGGTAATCACTGTACAGATCTGTGAGATTTTTACCCCCATCTATATACTCACGACTTGTCTTTTGTCTCAGGTAGTGGGATTCTATCCTAGGAATGGAGTCTATATGATTTTTTATTCCCTGAATAATATCAGAGCTCAATTTCTTTTGCTTTCCATGTTTGCCCCTCTTTTCTCCTTCAACAAATCCTGACTCACTTGTTTTTGCAATTACAGTTGCAATCGGTCGATTATTAATCGACAGTGTATTTTTAAAGAAAATCTTACAGACTCGCTGTGTACAATTATTGATTTCAAATGAAAATGAATGTTTAGGACCTCTGTTACTGTTGTGAACTTTATACTGATATTTAGGTTTAATTTTAGAAATACACTTTGATATAAAATCTCTTTGCCTCATAAGGTCAGCCAATTTCCAATAGTCATCAAATATCGTTTGTCTCTGTTCTTGTGTAATTCTTTCATTACACTTTAATCGACATTTTTCATCACATGGAGGTCCTATCTTCTTCTCAGGGATGATCTTCTTCATTTTGGACATGGAAGTATATTTTTGTCCACTATTGCGTTGTTTTTTAGCTTCTTGCTGTACAGACAAATGATTGAAATGTTTACGCCTTCGTTTTTTCGATATATTGCTATCAGCAGGAAGATTTACATTATTTTCCTCGTTATTTAATTCTTGAACTTCTTGCATTATATCGTTACGTTCTAAAATGGGACTGTATGATTTGCGTCTATTTGGAGTTGCTAGTATGTAATCCGGATCTCGATCTGCATCATCGGAAGAAAAGTCTTTACCTGATGTGGATGTATTTGGTGAAGATGATGAGGTTGAGCTAGATGACGAGGTTGAGCTAGATGACGAGCAACATGATGATGATGACCTAGGAGAAATAGATCTTTTTCTGGAGCTTGGAACATGTTCACTTCCTTCATTATCTGCAACTAATCTCAGAAAGTCACAATTGTCCTTCTCCCTCGTATCATTGGACGTTGTTTGTACAAAACATTCCTTTTCTTCAAAATCGGCAACCGAATGAGTTACTGATTCAGTTTGTAGTAGTTGTTGTACTTGCAAAACAGAAGGAGATCTGGAAGTTTCTGCACTTTGCTCATCAGTAGACGGATTACATGATGTCACCGTTTCTGGGAAGTGTTGAGACTCAACTAAATTAAGTGATGTATTTTCATTTACAGCATGAGAAGTGTGATGTAGTTTGTCCATAGACATTACTCTGTGAATATTGCTTGTCATGGGTTGTTTATTAGTATCCAAAGCTGCCATAATACGTAATATTCGTGGGTTCCGGGAATATGACATTATCTGAAGCAAGAATGCAAGAATAAGTGAAACCGTTAATACTAAATTTACAGGTTCTTTATATTATGAAAGTAAAAAAACTTAATGTCTGTCTATTGCTGCTAGACTACTTGTGACGATTTTTTACGCATGCAATATTCTAAAAAATATGGGCTTTATCGATAAAACATGGACAAAGCCACGGTTATTATACCTATAAATATTAAAGTGACTAAATAAATTTCAACACAATACAATATTAGTTTAAATTGTTATAACTGAAAAAGTGAAACTAAAGCTAATGACCATGGCTTAAATTATTAATTTACTTTGTACTTCAATACTTTTTTTAACAGAAAATAGTTTTTAAACGAAATGTAATAGTCTATCTTTAAAATTTTAGTGCATAACTTCATAGTGTAGAGTTGTAAATTGTAACTAACCTAAAGGTCTCACTATTTAATTTAACACTATTAATGTATTTACACTCCACGTAAAAGAAAAGAGTGACTAAAGGAATAGTAACACTTTAGTTATAAACATTAGTGTACAGATTGCTACCATTTTAAAAGTAAATCGTGGTTATATTGAAAGTAACATTTTATCGATGATATTATATGTTAGTATTGTAAAATTTCATTAAATGAAAACTGTGATTAAACAAAATGTTACACTTTACGAATTAAAAGTTTCAAATTACATACCTCTTTCCGTCGTTTAGACGTGTTTATACAAATAATCACACTTTTGTTTTAAAATTCTGTGTTCACTCCTCAGAATACGTGTCACAACTAGTATAGTCACACTGTTGTGTTTAGCATTTCAATCATATTTTGTTTGGTACCGGAAAAAAAAAACGCCATCTACCTTCTAGGATAAGAAATTGATAGTAGAGTCAAATTCATCAGTTAGCTTTTAAAATTTTAAGATAGATGGCATTGATAACTCAATTCTCAAAAAAATTGGTTTAGTAACGGTTTATCTTTAAAGGTGCGATATGTTGTAAATTTTCAAGTATATTGCGGTGTTCCATTTTACTGCAAAAGATACGTACATTGTTGTATACAAATACTTGAAAAATTTAATTACTTGATCTACCGCACAGCAATTTAATTCTTGGAAATGTTATTCAAGTAAGTCAGATTTACGTAAAAAAAAGAATATAATTGTATAGATTTAAAATATAAGTGAAAATAAAGAGTGAAAATACATTTCAATAGAACAATTGTAAAATCAGCATGTGCTACTTTGAGGTTATGTTTAGTAAATCAAGATATATCATCTTAGCGCCAATAAAATCTGAATAGATAATAAAAGACCATAATACTGTGATGTGTTACCTTAAGTTTGATGTATAAATCTTTTGTAAATTATTTTTCTAACTTTTACAAACGGCAAAAACCTGTGATCACGTTCAACGGTATCTTACAGAGTATGATGGGTTGTGGTTGGCGAATCGACCACATTGCTGCCACGTTGCCGTATTTTGTTCTGTGGTGTTCATTTTGGGAACAATTCATTTACAAACACTGAATTTGCACTTCGGTAACTTTTCATGTCAATTACTAGCTTATAAGTATTAATAAGAGCAGTGGTCGAAATATCGACCACAGACCTATAAAGGGTTAAAACGATGGTTATCACTGTTATCAGTCAATAATTCACTATTAAATTTCGTAAGTTTTGTTAGTTTATTTGTTGTATTTGTAAACAACTAGAAGTGATTTTATTAAAATAAAAGTCCTACAAAGTGTGTCTAGTGTAGCACCTATACGTCTAGTACCAATCCCATTACCCTTTAATAGTTTTGGCAGAAGGATTAAGGGCTGCCGGTAACAGGAAAACGTTTCACAACACCTCCAGTAATTACATTAATGCCGATGCTCATAAATAAATAGGTTTCGAATTAGAGTTGCTGTGCAATTAATTAATCAGCTAATTAGCAGACATGGAAGCATCAAAGAGGACCAGGTTTCTGGAAACCACAACCGCCTGCCTCTATACCGTCTATGTATACATGTTTAGTAATAGTCGAGGGGCTTTCTATTGCAATTGATCCTTAGTTACTTATATCATATTAAATTTAAGTCTAATTAAGTACAAGTTTTTCTTATTACAACATTACAATTTAAATGGGAATAAGCCACAATTAAAGGTTAAAGTACGTTTATTGGCGTTTCAATTTTCACTTCGGAAATCGTTCTCAAAATATAAATATTAGTAATTTACGTAACAAGTTCGGCAAGTGGTATTTGTGGGATGAGTAGAAAGTTTAAAGGACTTGTATTTGTTGTGATCTGTGATTCTTAAGTGATTCACAACTTTCCTCGATATTATCGTTTTCTAATGTTTCATTATCAGCAATCTCTCTCAATATTTCAGACATTAGTGGCGCCAATAGGAAATATGAGTAGAGGTGAACCAAGACTGAGATGGAGGGATGGTGTGGACGAGGACTCGAGGAAGATGGGCGCAACATACTGACAACGGTTAGCAATAAAGAAAAACGACTGGTGAAATATACTGGGGAAGGATGCTCAACTAAAGCTGTAGCACTACTGATGATGATGACGGGTTATACTTGGTTGCCTCTTACTTGATCTACTACCAAATAAAAGTTAAAGGAATCAAAGAAGGTTTATTGATATGTGGAATTTATTAGTAGAACTAGTTCTAAAAAAAAACAAGTACATACAGAAATTGTCAAGAAGCCTGAGATGTACCATCTATAATAATAGTTTCATTTGCAGGAAATCACTCTGAATATACAAGTTGTACATATTCTGTCGTTTATAACTGATTCTATAAAATGCTACTAAGAATGCTTAAACGATCTCACGCCACATAACAAACTAGATTTAGTATATCAGAATAATAATAATATTGGTTATGAAATTTGTTTAGCTGTTGCATCCCAAAACTCCAGCATGTTAAATCTAGAACCATCTTTTTCTAATATATGGTACTTTTATAAATAGAAGATGACCTCGACTATCACAAGCACCAGAAACTGTAGCTTCCATCTAAACACCATCTAAACAACCAGATGGCCAAAGGTCATCTACTAATTACTTTCAAGAACGTCGTTTTCCCATTTAAACATAATCCTGACAACAGTGCAGAACTGACAGCAAAGTTGCTAAATAATATCCTGCAAAAAATTTGTTATATCAATATGTGGCTCAAATTCGCAGCAGAATTCTTTGTCAGATCCTGGTCAAAAGCTTAAAGAATTTATATGCGCATAGGGATCTCACGAAGTGTTTATATTTAGTCGAAAAATATTCTACTTGCATGGCTTTCAGATTTAAGCCATATAGAGCGCTTAAATCTCGACATAAAAACTCTTGCATATGAAAAATAGAATATCAACACTACTCCAAATTTCAATCCTACAGGATATGGTTAGCTTATTGACGGAATTTGGCAAGTGTAAACTTTTGAATTTTGAGACCGTCAGAAACCGACAAATATACGCATTACTTCAGAATATAATGCAGGGACAAATAAAAGCAAAAAGTAATCCAGGACGTAGGAGAATTCAATGGTTGCGAAATTTGAGAAAATGGTTTGAATGCAGTAATGCAGAACTACTGCATTTGAAGAAGAGGAAGGTAAATAAGATCAGGATAGTCTTGACGATTTTCAATCTCCAACAGAAATAGCTCAGCACGAAGAGTGAATAGCGAATTATAATTGTATGTTACTAATTAGAAGCTGGGTAGATAGAGTTACAAACAACGTAGTATTGGAAAGAATGAGAAAACCAAAAGAAGTCCTAAACACTAGCAAAATTAGAAAGTTGCTATATTTGGGCCATGTAATGAGAGATGAGCGTTATGAACTGCTGCAGTGGATCATGCAAGTGAACATACAAGGACAAAGAAGCCAAGGTAGAAGACGCATTTTATGGCTAAACAATCTAGGAGCGTGGTTCTGCTACAGTTCTACAGAACTGTTCAGAGCATTGGAAATTCGAATCGCTATGATTGTTGCCAACCTGCTTAGAAAAGAATTTACGCGAATAAGAAGAATAAGAAGCTATAAGATAAATATAAAGTTAAGAAAATAGTCTTTGTTTGTAGTTCCACGTAGTAGTCCTTTGATGTAGTCTAAGTTTTTGTTTAGTAAATTGCTTAAGAGGTTACATAGATCTTGGGTTATCAAAAAATCTATTTATTTTTTATTCCATATAAAAGTATAATACTCCAAGAGTATTCACACCAAATTTTAAATAAATTCGAGTAACGGTTTCAGAGTTATAGAGATTTTAATACCGTGCGGTGGTATGTATGGTCTCAGTTTAAAAACTTCAAATGCGTTTATCTCGAAACTTTATTTGATCGAAGATTTATCGAAGAATGAATTGATCGGTTTTGTTGAAACTTTGCACAGTTCATCTTTATAGTATTGTTTCATGATTGAACGAAGGAACTAAAAAAAAGTTTAAAGTTTTTAAATACTATGCTGAGTAAATTTTCGTCTCATATTTTTTAGCATTTTTGCGATTCTTATAGTTTTCAAATCATTATTTTTAAATAAAACAAGAACAAGTCAACCGATGGAGAATCACTCCATTCAATCACGAAATAATACTATAAAGATAAACCGTGCAAAATTTTAGCAAAATCGGTAGATTCGTTCTCGAGAAATCGTGCCTACCGCACGGAAACACAAAGTTCCGAGGAAAACGCGTTTTAAGTTTTTAAACTGAGAGCGGTAATCAAATCAACTGCGCGGTATTCAAAGATCACTATAACTTCGGTAGTATTGCTTGAATTTATTTCAAATTTGGTGTGAATACTCTACCAATACCAATACCATATGGAATAAAAAAAAATGAATCGATTTTTTGAAAATAGAAGACCTATGTAACTGCGTAACTAACTATTTTTTTTTGTTTCAACAGCGTCGTCTGTTACATCAATCTATCTTATAATTATGCTTAAATTTTTCTTTTAGTTTATATTAAACCTTAACTCATCCCTTTTAGTAATATTTTCTTTTTGTATGAATAAAACGGTTAGATGATGTATATGCTAACCGCGTTTGGGCGTCGTGACTATAGAGTAGTCGCCATATTGGCGTCTCTAAGCCCTCTAAATTTAGTCGCTTCCTCTCTGTAAACCTACACAACGCAATTTGGGGCATTAAAAGGCTTGTAATTTAATAAATAGACTAATGTCAGCCGTTTATTCACAAACAGAATTGAAATTGCTACGGTTTTCGAGATCAACTCTTGCTTTTGGAGGATTTTGACAGTTTTTGATGTAGATCCCTGAATTGATTTTCCGTTGTCCATACTGATGCAATTAAATTAAAAATGTAAATAGGATTTTAGCGAGATTCTGG